AGTGCCAGGCCACCGACTCCCAACTCGGAGAGCCTCCCCAGGAGGATACCGTGGTCGACGGTATCAAAGGCAGCTGAGATGTCGAGGAGGACCAACAAGGACATGTTGCCCCCATCGGCCTCCCTCAACAGGTCATCCAACAGTGCGACCAGTGCCGTCTCTGTACCATAGCGCGGCCTGAAGCCCGACTGAAATGGGTCCAGAGCATTGGTTTCATCCAAGAGCGCCTGGAGCTGATCTGCCACCACCCTCTCAACCACTTTGCTGAGGAAGGAAACATTGGCAACGGGCCTATAATTGCCAATTTCGTCCGCCGCCAAATTTGGTTTCTTCCTAATGGGCCTAATGAGTGTCTCCTTGAGGGCGAGGGGAACCTTGCCCTCCTGGAGAGACCCATTAATTATTGCAGTGGCCCATTCAGTTGTTACCGGCCTGGCTGCTTTGATTAGCCAGGCCAGGCAAGGGTCGAGAGAAGAGGTGGTGGCCCGACAGCGATCAAGCGCCTTGCCTACCAAATCTGGTGTTACAGGCTGAAAGGAGTCGAGAATAACCGGGCAGGACGGAGCGCTGGACATCTCTGCTCGATCCATTGTATTTAAAAAAGGAGAAAGGTCACGGCGGATGGCCTCCACTTTGGATTTAAAAAACGCTGCAAATTGGTCAGGTGAGATGCTAGTGGGAGGCCCTTCACCCTGACCAATTCCGGATAGATCGCGAACTATACGGAAAAGTTTTGCCTGCTGGTTGGAAGCTTCGCTTATCCGGTCAGCGAGGTAAGATCTTCTAGCAGCCTTTACCTTGGCTAGGTAACGGTTAGTTGCGATCCTGACAGCTATCTTACTATAGTCCGTCGGTTTCTTTCTCCAAGCGCACTCTAGCCGTCTCCTTATTCGCTTCATCGCTCGTAGATCCTGACTATACCAGGGTCCTGGCCGAGCTCTGCTTCTGAGAGGGCGTTTGGGTGCGATCGTGTCAACAGCCCTAGTAGCGGCGGAGAACCAACCATCGACCAGAGCTTCGACAGGAGCGCCAGACAGTTCTGCTGGAATCCCTCTCATGGTATCCTGAAAACCAATTGGATCCAGTAACCTTGATCCTTGACAAAGAACTGACAAAACATTTTGTATCCAAGTTCTAATGAAGTCTAATAAGTTTTGAAATAAAAGTTCTACAGAGATATAAAACTACAGACTGAAGAGTGTGTCTAATGGGAAAGATGCTTTTAGACATGACACCTCCTCAAAACAGAAGTGGGCAGCCTTTCGGGAACCCACAGCATCCCTTCATCTAAAGTTTTTGACCTATCAAAACCATACCATATGCACAGTGAAGAGATCTTGCCGATTCAACATTGGTAGGAAATAGGACCATGCTGTGTTTTTGCCCCGTTTTGCAAGGTCAAAGAAAATACTAACACGCTGGTGATTCTCCTGTAAGAAGAATAAACAGAAATGTTTGCATGGAATATCAATTTGGAAGAGCATGCAAATACTGAACAATGAAAGATAGTGCTATAATGCCGAATAACACTGATACAATTGGAAACATGGGGTTCTCCTTCACAAAGCCTTCTAGAAAAATCATTCCAGAGACAATTCAGTACTGTTTGTAGACAAGTAACAATGAAGTGCATAGCTGAATCTGGCAGTCAACGTTGATGATAATCCACTGCCCAGAAAGTGTAGTCTACTCATTAAAAAAACACTACACTGCATTGAATGGATGGCAAAATTAATATTAAATCTTGCTTGAGTACTTCCATTTCATTTGTTGTTCAAAAGCCCATGGTTGATATATATATTGCAATCTCACACACAAAAAAACCCCAGGAAAATGCAATAAAAACAATAAAAAACCTTTCTCTAGCAGAATAAATAAAACCTACATTTAAACAAATTAAACAAATTCAAAACAATCAGTAGGAATTAATTAATTAACTCATCAAATCCCCAATGATTCATTGGACATACTCCAGTTCAACTTACTACTGGATTTCAGCCAATGTTTGTTTGCTTGTTTTGTTTAGCAAGATTCAATCCTCAAGATATGGAACAGAATGAAGAAATTAGACCATGTCTACTATATCCTCACAGTGCAGATGAGATTTCAGATGTTGAAGAGCTATGTCTTTCTTCTGAGCTGCCCAGAGGGATGTAACTGATTGTCATTCTCTGTGGTGGCTTGAGATCTATGAAACTGCCTCCACGGGAAGTCTACAAATGTACTCTTAGCAGACTGTATGTCATTTGAAGAGCTTCCTGTATCCTTAACAACCTGCCTGAATTTTTAGATCACAATCTGAGACTCAGTTCTTTAATTCACTAGAAAGCTATGAGAATGGGAAGCACGAGAAACTGGGCTTGTGTGTGTATGTGTTTTCACTGTTTTTCGAATATTCTCCCATGTAAAGCATGCTGTTTCCTCCTTTACCGCCATTCAGGAAGACTGTATACAGTTTGTTCCATTCTGCAAATTTAGTGTAGCCTGCTTTCACTGAGTTTTTATATCCTGCTCCCACCTTATTTGTCACTATAATGTGTATATCCGATGTCTACTGTGCCATCATTTAACTATTTCCTTTTCAGATTATTTCCTTTTGCCACCAAGAGGTCAGCATATAAATAAAATAATAATAATGTTTTGTGAAACCTTTTGTGCTATTAACTGGGCTAACAATCTAATAAAAACCCAAGTAAGAGGTAAAAACAGTTATCAGACATTTGCAGATCAAAATACTTAACTTTTTTTCATATTTCAGCCTTATTAATTTTAATTAACTCATTGGCCTTTTCCATTCAGTGTAGACTGTTTTTAACTTACATTTCTAACTTACATGGAAATACATCTCATGACTGGCTTTTTGTTGAAAAACAGTCCATAAAAACAATAAACCAAAGAAAACAGGACTGACTGGATAGAATTTTAGTCAATTTTAAGTAGCTCATTATTTTGTCCCTGCTTCGGATAGTATTCCAGATTCTGCCAAGACATTTGAGGGTACACTGGATGCCTATCTGATCTAAGTTATTATGAGTATCACTGTGACAGAATTCTTGCCTAGAATATTAGCAGAATGTATTATTTAAACCCACTTGTCACAGCAACTAAAGATCTGCCCATAAGTGCACTTAAGAGATTCTCCTTAAGCTTGTTAATTATCACAATTCAGCTAAGAATGTCTCATTTTGAGAAATGTAATTGATATAACTTTGTAATGTTGAAGTATGTGCAAGGCAGTTCTTTACTATTCAGAGTAAAATTTGCTCTGCAAATTTAAGAAAATCCTCTCATCAGACAAAAGCAAACTGGCGTTAACATTTAGATACAGAGCCAGCCTGTGGTTACAGCACCTTTTAAGGTCCCACAAAGGAACTGCAGGCCTAAATAAGGTGCAATGTGAGACAGCTCTTGCTACACTTTAGAAGAACCAACACAAGTGAATACCAACCTGGAAGCTGTATGCAGGAACTACTGTTATGTGGAGACTTCTTGTTCCTTTTTTATTGGATGCTGGAGAGCATCATAACAATGCTAACGTTGGATGTGGCAGCTATAAAAATGATGTTGTGCTACACCCAACAGTTCTCAAGATTTTTCAGCAAGTATGCTTTTCTCCTTCACTTCTTCTCCAACTTATTTTACCTTAAATAATCAACTACAACAAACTCTTAAGTTTTGTTTCTCATTGCTTGATTTTATATCTTTCTGTATGTTTTGTGATTTATGGTTTATTAATGTTTATTCCTTTGCCTTAATACTTCTTCATCGCTCAGTCTTGCAATCCAAGAGTATCCTTCAATAAATCCACATTTTGAAAGCCTCTTTTTATGTCACCTGTTTGAAAGTGTGTTATTTCCTTAAATTTTGCAAAGTGTAAAATGATTCATCTGCCACCCTCAATTCAAACTATAAACTTAACATTGACTCCCTGGTGGTATATCAGACACTTCTGGAAAGCACAGAGTGGAGACAGAAACTATCAGAAAGCTACCTGTCGGTGCTGCTACACTATCGTCATTCATTTCAGCAGAGGGAGCACACAAGCACCATTGCAATCATTTCGGCCACAGACTTTACCCTTTAAACAGCATAAAAAGGAGGGGCAGGTAGAAAAATACCTGCACTGAAATAAGACACCCACTTATCAACATGGAATAGGTTAATTAAACTCACCTGCAGCATATCATCAACCATAGTTAAAATATACTGAACTGTCTGTTCCTTGGAGATATGAGTCATCAGGTTGATGAATGTTTTAGCACACTATGAGGAGGGGGGGGAAAAGAAATTAAAGCATTAGCAATTGCTCTTGTTCTCATTTGAATATGCGAGTCTGCAAGCAGAGGTGATGTGGAAAACAGCAGAATTATTCTGTGTTGTTTTGCATGAAATGTTCACAAGCACTGAACATTTCTCCAAACACACAACTATGCTTAAGATTCTATATAGTTAGAGCTCTGAGCTGAGTTCAACAATGATTATTAAGGATGCCAATAACTGTATTGTTTTTTCCAGATTATAAAAGAGCATGCTGCATTTAATCTATGCCCTGTGGATGGAACGTCACAGGTTAAGAAAACTACTCTTTGCCAGACACAATCGTATAAACTAGAGGACAGGAATAGAGATGGGCACCAACCGCCGGTTTGGCAGTTCATGCTGGTTCGTCCTTCAGATGAACAGATGTTTGATGCTTCCCAGTCCCGCCTCCTCCAGCTGGCACCCACTCAGAGGCAGCACCTGGAGGAGGCCCAGCAGGGAAGCCAGCTCATTGTCTCCAAGTGGGTGTCTGCTAGAGGAGGCATGGCTGGGAACCACCAAACAACTGTTTGGCCGAAAAACAAACTAGCACAAACTGCTGAACCAGCGCTTCATACCCATCTCTAGACAGGAATATCTGACCTACAGGAGTTCCCAATTCAGGTCAGTGAACTACCTGACTCATCCTTCCTTCTTCCTTTAGGAAGAAGGAAGGAAGGGTCATCTTGGCCATCTCAATCTTGGCCATCTCAAGAGGAAGATGGGGCAAATTTGGGGCGAACAAGGCAATTGGGAAAACAATTTTGCTCCTATCTGGCTTTCCCACACACTTCAAAAGCTCATTGCATTTCAAGGTCAAGACCAAGTCAGGCCCTTAAGGGATGGTCAATGGCACTGGATTTTGCTTCCTCCACATCTGATCTATAGAAAGTCAGTGGGGGAGAAAAAATAGTCCACCTGGTTCCCTATCCCTATTGTAAATGTTTATTTTCATGTATAATCATAGCAGTGGATAGGAGGGAATCCAAAGAAACTCATGCAGTATAACTGCACTAGCTTCAAAAATTGCAACTTTATGAATTAATGAGAGAGAAAAGGGATCCATGTATACCTACTGCAAATATTAATATTCATGATCAAACACCCTAGCCATTTATCTTGTACATTTCACAGAGCAGGTGCTCTGATCAGTCATAACATTGTGAGAAAACAGAAAGTATTATATATTAGAGCCAAGATGTTCAACTGAAGATGTTGTGGTTCAACATTTTAGAAGCTTGCATTACGATGTATACAATACTTTATTACAGAAGGAAAAAGCCCCATTGGATGAAAGAGACCCTCTCCACTTTTGCTGCAGCAAGACAGGTGGTCAAGATGACCTGTGCAAAGAGATTATTATGGTCTTCAGAACCTCAGCTAATGGGCCTACAAATAACAGGAATATTCTAAACACTATGGTGGATTGCATCAGAGAAGCATAAATGTAAGAACATTCAAAGACATAGACTGTACCTGTTACTCATTAACCAAGAAGTCTCTAAATGAGACCAGCAGATCAACACAAATGACTTAATGTCTGCAAAACTGGATAACCATTTTGGTCTTGTGCTAAAAACAGAAACTCAGATCTTCTCAAACCAAGATGCCAATTGACAATACCACTGAGAATAATGAACAGGAATCTGTCCTCAAAAGATCTGGATTACCTGGTTGCCTTCTGTCTGTATTAATTCCTGTTTCTCTTCTGGGCTCCTTTTCTGTTCAAATCTTTGAATAAACTCACAGTCTTCTGCTGAAATCATCTGCCCTCTGACAAAGATAACATAAAACTAACATTAGTGTAAGATGATCTACTTTTCACCTTTTGTAGCCTTCATTCCTCTTTTCTTTCCAAGATGACTAACAACATACATAAGTACCTTACAGCAATTGTTTCCAACCTTGGGCCCCCAGATGTTCTTGAACTAAAACTTCCAGAAGTCGTCACCACGAGGTCTGCTGGCTAGGACTTCTGGGAGTTATAGTCCAAGAACATTTGGGGACCCAAGGTTAGGAATCACTGCCTTACAGTGATTACTAATAGATATGGGCACAAACTGTCAGCTTGGTGGTTTGTAGCTCATCCTCCAGATGAAAAGATGTTTGGTGGTTGCCAGCCCTGCCTCCTTGAGCAGCCGCTCACTCAGAAGCAGTGCCCCAGCCTCCTCCAGGCACTGCTTCTGACTGGGCACCTGCCACAGGAGGCAGGTTTGGGAAGCACTGAACACCTGTTCATCCTAAGGACTAGCAGACATGAACAACTGAGGCACCTGCCAGAGGAGGCAGGTTTGGGAAACACTGAACACCTGTTCATCCTAAGGACCAGAGGTTCATGCCTATCTCTAATCACTGCCTTCCCAAGCGTATTAAATAAATTTGAAACCCAAGAGCATGGGTGGTACCAAGACACATGATCTTTTAAGAGAGATTGTGATGTCTTTGCCATTCAGAAATATTTTCACAGCTATTTAAATCTGGGACACAAAAGGCTATTCTAAACACACTTAGGTCTAATGGATTATTTTTACTTGATTTTCTTGTGTAGATTCTACTTGAATGCTTTATCTTGCACTACTTCAGTAGAATTGTCTTATTTTATATATAGTTTGACGTGTGCCATGGGCATTTGATATTCAAGAAACACAAACTCAAAGCCTGCTTGGGCACAGAGTAATAATAATGCACATCTTTAGATCTGAGCACATGCCTTCTCTCATTTATCTAAGTCAGGGGTCTGATGTTTGATGCTTTATCCGGCCCAGTGGGCAGGTGTACACACATGCACATACTCCTTTAGCCCTCAAAAATGTGGAACATATATGATGTGGCCCTCACACTGAAAAGTTTGGAGATCCCTGATCTAAGTGATCAAAATGCATTGAAGAAAGGTATCCTGCAAAAGTGCACCTGATCAAGGAAGCAAGTCATGAGTATCAGAAGCTTATGGTTAAACCTAACTGTTAGTCCAAACCAGAGTAGAGCTGCTAAATCATAAGTGTTTACTTAACAAATCCCATTCATTTAATTGAACTAAGAACTGTATTTAGCTCTTACAGCAACAGAGGGCAACTAGATGTGGCTGAACTCCCATGGCTGATGAGAGTCATTGTCTAACAACATCAGGAAGATTACAAGTTTCCTACCTCACCTTAAAGATTTAAAAGGAAGTTTAGGAAGCTTATTTTTCAAACGAAGGGCCATCAATCATTCTGGGTCACACCTAGGAATTCCAGAACATCCAAGAAAAGCCACCAATACCAACACTACCAAAGAAAACCAGAAACAAAGGCAAATTTCACTCTTTCTCTTCTTTCAAAATAAACAGCTGTTTCTCCCAAGGACGCACCAAGAGGTTTCTCACCTCAGGAAAGGAAGCACTCATTTTCTTTCACAAACTGCTGGCACCTGCAGTCTTGATAAACTATTTGACACTGCTTGCCATAAACGGGTCAATTGCACTCTTTAAAATAGTTTCAGTAAGCAAGATTTACATTGCTAGATTACTTATACCTTTTCATTTTTCATGTGCCATTTTCAACAGCACTGAGAAGCTGGTTCTGCTACCATGACAACTATTCAGCACAGAACATGAGATAAAGATACTCCTCTTAAATACTAAAATGCAGAAAAGTAGGGCAAAATGTAGATCCATAACACAACTTCTGTGCAGTGAGGACCGTTTTTAGAAGATTATTCTTCATTGTGCATTTTCAAGGTTTAAGAGATTAAGAGTTTCCAAGCAGCAATTTCCACAGCACTTTTTGTTTATTTAATCATGTTTTACAATTCCTCCATCTCTGTTGAATGCTGCAATCCAAGAAACAATGACCTCTTCAGAGCAGCAAATTATTATACATAAAGACCATCATTTTAATCTCATCCCTCTATCTGCAAGACATCACACACTGAAATGCTTCAGAAGGCACAGCTTTGATCAAGCAATGGGTTCCATGAGCCAAGATCCCTCGTTTGCTGTCCTGGTCAATAACTGCCCCAGTTGTCAATGCTTGCTTGCTGGGAAAGGGACAGGTATCAACAGTAGAATGTGGGCCACAGTAAAGCATCTCTCTTAACCAAAGGTACCTTCAAACTAGAAGGACATCTTCCTTTCTGCCTTGTCCTTATTTGTTGTTGTTTAGTAGTTGTGTCTGACTCTTCGTGACCCCATGGACCAGAGCACGCCTTATACATATGCCCAAATGCCAGCCACAGTGCATTGTTTGCACCTCCAGGTAGGCCAGTGATGTTTGCTAAGCAGCACAAGCATCGCAATACCTAACAGAGTCATAACTCCTTTCCCTCTAGTATTTCTAACTTCTACAGGGCTACCTAAGATTTTCTAGAAAACTGTTTCAACACTTGTAAACTGAATGACACAATCAGCATAATCTACAACAGTCATCATATTATTCCCTTTTGCCAGGGGTAGGACAATAACATGTCTAGAGAAATTAATCTCTCACCCTGAATGCCAAAATATTACAGTATTTCACATTTCTTTAGGTTTAAAGCATAAGTAGCAGATAACTTCCTCTTTCAAGTCAAACCAGCTGTCAACTTCCTTTCTTAAAAAAGGAAACAACTCTTTGAGGGGATCAAATTGCATTTATACAGCAAACAGTATACTTACCCAGAGACCTTCAGGGAGTGTGATATACTTCTAAGAGGAAATGAAGGGAATTAGGGAGCTGTTAGAAGAAGAATGTGATCTTCCAAGGTCTGCAGTGAACAAAAGTGGCCCCCAGACCTTTGAAAAATCCCTACATTTTGTTTGGATTCTAAATTGTGGAGTTACTTAGCATGCTGCTTATGAGAGTTCTTAAAAAATGGATGTAATATTTCCCTCCCAAATGCAGCAGCAGCTAAGATGGAAAATAATTTAAGAATACAAAGTAATGTATTCTCGAAGCGTTGGATTCTAAATTGTGGAGTTACTTAGCACGCTGCTTATGAGAGTTCTAAAAAAATGGATGTAATATTTCCCCCCCAAATGCAGCAGCAGTTAAGCTGGAAAATAATTTAAGAAAACAAAGTAATGTATTCTCAAAGCGTTTCATGGCTGGAATCCAATGGTTGTTGTAGGTTTTTCGGGCTGTTTGGCCGTGTTCTTAAGGTTGTTCTTCCTAATGTTTCACCAGTCTCTGTGGTCGGCATCTTCAGAGGACAGGAGTCAGAACTCACCAGAGCACAGACAGAGTTCTGACTCCTGTCCTCTGAAGATCCCGGCCAGAGCGACTGGTGAAACGTTAGGAAGAACAACCTTCAGAACATGGCCAAACAGCCCAAAAACCTAGGACAACAATACGAAGTAACCCCACAAAGATATGGGGTACATGTGTTAAAAGATACTTAGACCAGGAATATAACTCTGTTTTGCACAAAAGCTCACCATATCACAACACTGGTAACACTGACTGGAATTGACTGGAGTTGTAAGACAAACCATCAGAGGGTCCAAAGGTTTCCACCTCCAGAGTTCATCATCATCATCATCTCAGAACTGCAGAGCTGGGACTTATGGTTCATCAATCCCAGCCCCTGTCAAAAAGGCAAAATGGGGAATCAAACTCCCAACCTCTGGCTCTGCAGCCAGATTCCAAAATCACTAAAATGTCTAACAATCAGAGAACAGTAGTGCATTTCTGGGGTCTGCCAACCATCCTACCAAAGCACAATAGTTAAAATTCCAGTATTATAAGAAAATCAGCTGCTCACTGTAGACCAAGTCCAGTCACCAAAGTGATACGATCTATTTTTGAAAAACACCACCTCCAGTCAGTCAGTGACACAGTAACTTGTGATCACGTTTTCCTTAGCATTATACATTTTCCTTACAGGAAGTGTAGTCTCTGATCTGTTCATATGATGCAGCAAACACTACTTTGTTTTTTGTGTTTTACTATCAATCATTACCATCAATTGTTGAAAGTACTGTACTCATTCTAATTTGGTCCACTAGTCTTTAGACATAAATTCACGAATACATATTTGGGCGGCAATGTATTTGTTTGCTTGCTTTCTAAACATCTAAGCAATATGGCATTCTTTCTACATGGCCAATGTTGCCAATGAAAACCTTGCCAGACACTGGATAGAATTCCTCTGAGTCCCACCCCATCGTTTAATTATTTTTACGTACAATAGTTCCATTCCTCTAAGTAAATTCTTGGGTTCCACTTCTTTTGTTCTTTTCTGGACAATATGTATTGATGATGTTATAAGAAGTTGTCAGGCAGTTTCTGGGATCCCGCTTGAGACATGGACTGTGGCTCATAAATTTCTGGGACCTGCCACAACTGCAGCCCTATGCTCAAAGGTCAGGAAACTAAACTAAACTAAACTAAACTAAACTAAAAAAGCCTACTGTGTTTAAACACTCACTTGTTCTTAAGACTTTCCTCCCACTAATAAAACTGGTTCCTATTCAAAGTCTCCCCTTTACATACTCCAAACAACCATCTATAACAATTTATCTTACAAGCACAAAGGAAACAGATACTTTTGAAAGTATGCATTGATTAATGTATTCACCTTCACATTCTATATAATGATTGGTCAGAAAAGTCCAGGGCACTTTTTAAAAGAACAGTTTCATTAATATCCTTCCTTTCATCCCACTTTATATTCTCAATGTTCCTGTGAGAAGAGTAGCTCCATAGAAGGGGGCAGAGGATGCTTCATTCCAAAAGTGGGGGGAGAGTGCTAGCCAGTGGCTATCTATGCCTGTGCAAGGTTCCTTCTAAGGTGTACGAGGGCTCCTCCTCCTCTGTGCACTCACAGCAGTTTCCAGCCCCTATGGTTTTGGTCACCATGAAACCCCAAGGGGAGCAGAGTTGTGTGCACAGGGGGGAGTAGAATCATGCACACAAAGTGTTGAGCCCCACTGAAAATTAGAGGGAACATTGCCTGTGAGGTAGGTCAGTGGCTGATAAGTTCAAAGGCATTTAAGAAGTACCCAATAAGTCACCCAGATCCAATGGGGCTGTAAGGAAAATTCTGATAACTCGAATAACTCTACCACCCTGACTTTCTTCCTGTCCTGGAGTTACAAAGAAAGGGGATGATCCCCATCAGTACCAGAGCCTAGAAGATGGCTGCGATTTCTTCCAATTTTGTGCTTGGCAGCAGCCCTGTACACTACCAAGAACACAGTTGAAGCCTATCTTTAAGCAGCAAAAAAGAAAGATGGAGCACATGAGCACAACCTGTGCTGAATGCCCTGGGCTCTCAAGAAGTAAAAAAAATTACTGCCCCTATTTCCAACTCTAACTCAAGCTCACACTATGTTTATGAGGACAATTCAGGAGCCACAAATATGTTTTCATCTACTGGAGGAGAAGCAAGGCCAGCCAAATGTATAACCCACCCACCCCCAGTAGGAGGACACTCAATCATCTCCCAAAAGTAACTGAGGAATCTCCAGAGTGTCTAGGTAGCAGTTCAGAGCATTAAATCTATTAAAAGCAGTAGCATCCATTCCAGACGGGTTCCTAAAACACAGTGGAAAACCATTTTTTGTTATTTATCATGGTGGAGTCCGGATTCTCAGATATAACTGCTATCTTGAGACCTGATTTTTGCCAGACTTGAAATCTTGCTAAAAGCATTAAAAACATTGGTTATACCCATTGATATCATGAAAGCAAATCTCAATTTAAAAATCTCATTAATGTTCATAATTGACTTTGATATATTCCCAATTATTTCCAGCGACTCAACGTTTTTCCAATGTCTAATTAACTTCAGTCGCTATTACTACAGCAACACAACTACAACTAGTCTAGTTATGCCTCTTCGAGAAATTCATGATGAGCTCATAACTTACTGGAGATATGACTGCCAATTCACTTTGTTGGCCCGAACCTCAGCAGCTTTGGCAGCAATGATATTGGTGGGGAGAGCAGCATCTACAGCACCCCGGATATCCATTTTTGTCTTGATTCAGAAACTGTTGAGAAAACAAGGATAAAACTATTAAGAGTCACAGACACTGTGATTGCATTTGCTTGGATTTATTGTCATAAATTGGTTCCAGGAAGTCACTTAAGGGAAAAAAACACCAATATATGTGACTGGCTTTTGTTAACACAGAAAGTCAACGCTAAGTTAAATAAGACATTGCTTCAAAAAAAGCAGCTCCAACATCTGTTGCCAAAATAAGTGTAAGGCTCTTAATTGGACAGAACTAAAATTTCCTTCCAAAGCAAAAGTTTCAGATTGCCAATATAATTATGCCTACTGATACTTTCTACTGATCAGTGGAGCGCTCCACATTCTATTTCCTGTGACCACTGAGTACCATTTTCTTTCTTTCTGTCGTTTCCTTTCTCCAGCTAAGAGGTAATTTTCAAGCTAGATATATCTTCTTATGAATAAGCACCACAGAATATAGTAAGGTCTACTTTTCAATAAACATGCATAGGACTGTGTTGCCTATTCTCCTAAGAAGCATCAACATTTGTGCTCATTTTTTAAGTAAGAGTGGAGCACAAAATACCACTGTGTGTCAGAAATAATGACCTTCACTGTTTTTCTTTTTTCCTTTCTGAACTAGCTTCTGGCCTCCTCTGACGTTCTGATGCCAAAACAAATTACCTGGGTTTTTACTGTGTCTATCCAGTCCTGGCTGAGGCACACCTTCCATAAACATCACCAGTTCTACCTGACCAAACCAGCACAAGCTCCCTCAGAACCATTTACATACAGAAAAAAACTAGATCAATCTTCTCTTTCTTCCACAGGAAAAACCTATTATCTGTTATTGGATTAAACAACTATTGTTGTGTTCTGCATTAAAACCATACCAACACAAACAAGTCTCAGATCAGAGAACAGAAGGTGCACAATTATTTTTCATCTTGGCATATAATTTGACTAAGTTTGCCCATATTTGCTTCAAAAATAAAATGTGGTATCAAGATATTAGTTTTACCATCTTCTAACAACCTGGTTTGGGAAAGGAGAGATTTAACAGACTTAAGGCAAATAACTCCAAGAAAGTTTGAAACAACATAAAAATCAGACTACCCCATGCGGAATTTTAGTTACCTGAACAATAATTATAGCCATACATTTGCTTTTTTGTTTTATTCAGAAGGCTCTTAACTGCTGATTCATGTACTGCTACTAGGATGCAGAATTAGTCTTGGCGAGATATGGGGGTTTTATAAGAATGATTACGAAGTAGGCCTCTCTTATACCCCACATCATTCTGCAATTATGATTTGCATATTTTTTCTGTAACCTTTGTGGTTAGCTACCTTGAGAATGTAATTTACATCCAATTTTAAAAATGTGTGCTTATTCCCAACAAAACCAGTACAATTTCTAACAAAGAAAATTTAATGTAAATAACTAATTTATATTATATTATAACATTTATTAGCAGCCATTTCAAATCATTGCTGTTTCCTATCAATATTATGGTGTCATCTGCATCTTTTAAAATATTATCTCTTCCTCCATTTTTTACTTCATCTGACTCTAATCCATTTTTTCGACTGCCTCTTTGCCTCGGCCTGCTGGACAAATGTCTCTTCAAAATGGAAGAGGCCATGATGTCTCCAGGCTGAATGCTCAGATGTCAAGGTTTCCCATCTGTTGAGGTCCTTATTCCTAAGGTCTTCTGATCTCGCTTGCAGATATCCTTGTATCGCAGCTGTGGTCTCCTTCTGGAGTGATTCCCTGCACTAATTCTCCATACAGGAGATCTTTTGGGATCTGACCATCAGCCATTCTCACAACATGCCCGAGCCAATGTAGATGTCTCTGTTTCAGTAATGTATACATGCTAAAAATTGACCAATAGAATTACAGTATAACAACAAAACTAGCTTGTAAATATTGTGGAAAAGATTCAGTTATTGTTGTTGTTGTGTTTTGTTTTTCATTTCTATGGCAGAAAAACCTAGGTTCTTTGACACAGCGATTGGTGACATTGTGAAAAACTATTGAAAAAATTGGAAATAACTAATACAAAGTCTAAGTCCAAGAGTAATAAGTAGAGGTCTGCCAAATCCGTGGAAGGCAGGACAGCAGTGACAGCTAAAACAAGAGCCTCCCTAAGGCCTGCGGTTACCCAAACCTGGGGACAAAAAGAGTGCGTGTTGCAGGGGAGGGGGAAGGAGCCATCCTGCCTTGCTTGTGACCTTGCCTGTGACACCAACGTAAGTAGCGGCTGCTGAACACAGATGGGGAACTACATAGATCCAACTCCGTAAAGCCATTCTTAGGGCCCAGATAGACTACGGCCAGCACTTCGCCTTGGGAGAAGAGAAACGCAGAAGGCAACCTACCGGGGGGGAACCTCAGGCCAGCAAACAGCCTTCTTTGTAGCGACGCCTGAGCGGAGGAGGAGGAGGAGGAAGGCGGATGTTCCCCCTTTCCCCCTCCCTCCCTGAACCCCCTCGGCCCCGACCTAAAGCTCTCCCCTTCGGGGGTCTCCCCCCAAAGCCTCCCTTACGCCACCCCCGGAGTGTGCTCACCTCCTTCCCTCCCGCAGGCCAGCCGTCAGCTTCGCAGACTCCGCAGCGACAAGAGCAGCCAAGGACCCGGGCTCTGCAGCAGCGGAGCGGCGGCTCAGACAGAGGAGACTCACGACCATGTGACCGCGCTGAGCTGACAAGCCCGGACGTACACAAGTACGGGTGCCTGGAAGGCCCCGGAGGCGGAGAAAGTGAAACCTTTCTCGCCCGCTGAATGGAGGCGGTCCCTTTAAACTTTGACGCGGGACCGCGATTCCTGCTTTACAGAATCCCGGGCTGGCCGCTCTAGCGGGAGGCCTCGACGTGCCGTTAATCTCAAAAAAGGTTCTCCATTTTCAGTAGCGTTACAGGCACATTTCAACGGAAGGGAAGAAAGGTTCGGGCAAGTGCTCCGCAGCGCCCTGCTCCTCATCCATTTTTGCCGGCCGCGTTTAAACTTTGGAGCACAACAGTTGTTCGTGGCTGTCCCCTTAAGTTCACTGCAACCAAAGAATTCAGCGCCACAATTTGCAAAGGGTGAAAATAAAACTAGTCTGTTCTCTGGTCTAAATTACGACCTCTTCGTGGCCTCCATAATACTTGTACTGCATGTGTTTATCGTGAGCAAATAAATGGATTATAATTCACAAAAGGGCACAGTGAATTAAATACGTTGGTCCTGAATATGTCTCCAAAAAAGGAATTTCCCTTCCACCACCCCCTCATCTGCTCCCGGGGGAGTTTAGAATTGTTCCCCTGCCTGCATGAAAGGGGAGGGGGAGCCACGGGGGTCCTTGTACACAATCCAGAATATACTGTACCTCTGTTGCATCACTAAAATCCCTGCCCCGACAGAGACTAACTTGGACTCTGCAAAAGCCTTCGTGGGAGCTGTGGGTAGCGCAATTCCAAAGTCCATGGCCAGATGTGCGGGTCATGTTTCCTTGTTTAAAGAAAGTTCCAGAATGGCGTCTGCGGAATCAGTTTGGTGATGGCAAATTTCAGATTTCATTTCTGGTGACGTGGACTACAATGGCAGCTGTTCATGTAAGAAGTTTGCGAAGGAGATTCTGAACTCCCAGCTCTCATAGTTTCGGACCTCAATATCTGGCAGATCATCTTCTCCCACCCAGATCTACCCGAATCACCCGACATAGCCAGCAGGGATGGCTGAGGGGTCTGACGCCGAGGGAGGCCCGGAAGGAAAAAAACGAGAAACCGGGCCTTTTCAGCGGTGGCCCCTCGGCTCTGGAACACCCTCCCAACCGAAATTTGGCTGGCACCCTCGCTGGGTGTTTTCAAAAGCCAGCTGAAAACTTGGCTATTCAAGCAGGCCTTCCCTCCAGTCAATTAAGTGATGCTTATTTCTTATTTCTTTCCTTTTAACTTATGCCATCTTGGGACTCTTTGCTTTGCTTTAAATTGATTGTTCAAATTGTAAGTTCTTTGATTATATATTTTTCTGTTTTTATCTATGTAAATTGTGTATATTTTAAATTGTTTGCTATTTGTATGTTGTGAGCCGCCCAGAGTAGACCATGTCTAGATGGGGGGCATATAAATGCAATCAATCAATCAATCAATCAATAGTTCGACCTAGTTGAGATTCATGCAGAGTTGGAAGCTAGATGTTAGTGCTCCACCTACCCTTGTGTTTCTCTAAATGGCAATGAGTCCTAACATTACACCCGGATTGAAAAAACAAGTGAACAGCTTGTGAGTACTCCTGGATTCATCCCTGAGCCAGGAGTGCATTTGCACAATTAAAACTAGTGTACCAGCTTCATCTGTTTCTTGGGAGATCTGGTCTGGCCACTGTGACACACACCTTAGTTACTTCCCAGCTGGATTACTGTAGCAGGCTGTATGTGGGGCTGTTGATGGAAAGTGTCAGAAAACTTCAGTGGGTCCAAAATGCAGCAGCCAGATTGCTGACGGGGTCTGGTTAAAGGATCACATAGGAGCTCCTGTTACAGCAGCTCTACTGGTTGCCAATCGGTTTCCGGACACAATTCAAAGCACAATTCAAAATCTATCAAGCCCTAAATGGTCTGGGTCCAAGCTATTTCAAAGACCATATCTTCCATTTTGAACTGTCTATCCATCCAGGACTAACCAATTCTTCCTTTCAGTCTTGGAATTGAAAGAGACACCTGCCTTTCTGCTAAGTGTTCTTTTTCCCTCTCTTACCTTGGCTGGTGGCAGCTGTTCATTTGCTGTTAATCTGCTCCTATTTTGGAGCACTGCAGGGGTGGAGAACCATCAGCTTCTCCAATGTTTGAACCTGTAGTTCCCATCACACCTACACAGCATAGCCAATGAAAGAGGAATATGGGTGTTCTAGTACAAAGAATCTGTAACATGTCCCACCACCGCAAGGATGGCATAGCTTCCTGCCACAGCATCAATGATGTTGCTAGCAGTGAACCTCCCCCTGTACTTATGGAGACTGAAGTCAGCTGTCTCCTATAGTGCCCATCCCACCCCTCGCTACTCTATGGATATTAACATTGTTGACCTCCTTTTTTTTTCAGGAAGGAGATTATTTCTTCATTTCATTAATGATGCATAATCTAACGTCCTAGTCCATCTTAATGGCAATACATAAAATAGTATATATATGAACTATAAAACATATTTTAATCTGAAAAGAGCTGCAGAGTGATGATTACATGTAAGAACTCAGAAGCAGGGTTGTAAATCATTAGCTAGAAAAATTAGAGTATGTGTTCACTAAGGTTAAAAGGGGTGGGTGGGAATTCTAAAATTAAGCTCACAACATTCTTCTACACCTTTTCTCTTTCATTTGCTGTTTTGTAATACAAATGGTGTAAAGGCCAAGCTAGCTTCTTAGATGGAAATAGTGGAAGTATGCATGTTGATTTCAAGCTTCTCCTTAACTAACAGTTTGGAATTTATGGTGTTGAACTACCCGTAAGAACTTAATACACAATCTTGAAGAAGATGATTTAGCATCAAAAGCTCTGTGTTTGTTTTTGTTGTTTTGTTTTGTTTTATATTCTTAATGTTCGGTTAAAGGTATCACCTGCTCCTGTGTATGTATGGTTTCCATGACCATGGAGCCTTTTCTTGATTTTTCCTGAACTGTAAGATACCAGGAGTTAACCTTGAGGCAAAATCCGGAGCTGGAGTCCCGAAAGCAGCATGTGTCGTTCTGCCACTCTGTGTTTGTTTTTGTTGTTTTGTTTTGTTTTATATTCTTAATGTTTGGTTAAAGGTATCACCTGTTCCTGTGTATGTATTGTTTCCATGACCATGCAGCCTTTTCTTGATTTTTCCTGAACTGTAAGATACCATAGAATGGCTGATCAGGGCATCAACTTAAGACCAAAATGAGTTCCTGAACACCATGGACTTCTTGGCACCAAACAAGCAATACTGCATGCTAAAGAAAGTATTTGTCAAGTAAAACGTCTGGGGATTTGGTAAAATGTCTTTAATTTGGCTTAAATTGACTGTTCCTGGTGGTTTAACTAAATTCCTGATCCCAGCTCTGTTGGAGGCAGGCCATGCCACTGGTTACCATAGTCTCTCAAGACTGAAGGATGCCTATGATTGATGATTGAAGATACCATAGAATGGCTGATCAGGGCATCAACTTAAGCCCAAAATGAGGTCCTGAACACCATGGACTTCTTGGCACCAAACAAGCAATACTGCATGCTAAAGAAAGTATTCGCCAAGTAAAATGTCTGAGAATTTAGTAAAATGTCTTTAATTTGGCTCAAATTGACTGTTCCTGGTGGTTTAACTAAATTCCTGATCCCAGCTCTGTTGGAGGCAGGCCATGCCACTGGCATGCTGCAGCTATTTCCATCTAAGAAGCTAACCTGGCCTCTACTCTAACCTAGCCATGTGAATTTGGGACATTAATAACAGCACATAAGTTTGGAACTATCTATAAGAATGTGAGGCACAGCCTTGAAGAAGATGATTTATCATTGAAAGCTCAGTTTGTTTTTTGCTTTTTTTGTTTTATATTCTTAGTGGTCTATTAATCGTATCACCTGCTCCTGCATTTCCCCTAACTAGTTTTTATTGCATTCCTACTGCAGTATCAGCTGCAGTAAAAGACACAGAATGATAATAAGGACTACACAAAAGGTCAAAATAACATGATATGCTCATATAATTCACAGATAATACTTGACATTTAAAAAAGGAAGCAAAAAAAAAACAGGCACAACTCAAATCCATATACATAGTAGGCAGAATGTAAAGTCTGCTGAAAATCAGCTTAATTCTTTCTTAATTAAATCTTACCATAAGAGCTTGAAAAGAAAGATTTAGTAAAACTATTAGAAAAGAAGCTTTTTAAAAGTCCAAACGCTGAGGCAAATGCAAAAAAAGAAGGGGGTTGGGAAGAGAAAATCTGTGAGGGAAGCCCTCCTTTTAGGCCTTTAATAACATCTTGTATTTGTGCATATAGCTAATCACCCTAATACCTTTTTCTCATTTTTGCCTGAACAGTCTGTGACAGCAATATGGGTTATCTTTTTGGCAGAATGAACTTGACCTCAGTATGTGGTTCTTCCCTGCATTGTATATCATTTTTCTGTGAAGTTGAGTGATGAGACATAGTCAAACAAGAACCTGTAAGGATGAGGAACAAAAATTATAGCAGTTATTGTGGTCCTATTTTCTTGGTGACAAAAGTTCACATGTGTGAACAAAAGTCATTTTTTATTTAGTGTGGTAGCTGCATGAATTTAAGCTGTTCAAGAGCTTATTGCTATGGATTGCTAAATCTAATTTATTTCTCAGACAATTTGTTGTTTGAGTATTCTCCAAATGAAGATGCAAAGTACAAATCCTAAGGTAGAAAATCCTCAGCTGTGGCAATAAAATCATAAGAGGAAATAGCAGTTTGCAGTAATTAGCATTTTGTGACACTCCAAATTTGCTGATGAGACAGTCACCTCACTCTGACTCATGGTAGGGCTGGCTTTATACACAAAACTGTAGCACATATACCTGTATGCTTATACATGTTATGTACAACTATAACACACCCACATTGGTGGCATATGAAAAAGTAAATGTTTTAAATAACTATCACCATTCAGGGTGCTGTTGATATCACCCGATTATGTTTTATCAGTCTAATGCCGCCATTACTACATTGGTGCTCTGCAGTTGTGTTGGACTATAACA